GTTAGGTTATTTTCTTTAATATCTTAATTGAATTTTTACAATATTATTTTTATGAAAGAAACATATTGTAAAATATATTTTTATTCAGATGAAAATTAATTAATTTTCGGGAGTTGTATCATGTAAAATTTTAAATGGATAATTATATCAATTTATATTTTAAACTTTGTTAAGTGAATTAATTTAGTGTTTCTATTAATAATTTTAAATTATTTTTACTTGATTCTACAAATTCAATTCATAATCACATCAATTAGGATCAATTCATAATCACATAAATAAATAAAATGGATCGAAATCATATTGTAACAATGAAAAGACCATAAAAACTTTAAAAGGAACTTGACCAACTTTTGGAAGGGTGAGAGATCTAAGAACACTTCTCAAAATGTATATAAACAAGAAGGTTTCAAGAATTCCAAAACAATGAACAGCACCTCAAAATACATAGAACACACTTCGAAACTAAGTATTAGACATTGAAATGGCTATGGAGGAAGAAGTTATGAACATTTTTGGAAGCACAATACCTAGTTATCTATAACTACGTTAGTACACAGCCAAACCAGATACAGCACTTATCACCTATTGAATTGATTATCAAAAAAGAGGAGGATGGTCGAAACAATAGAATGAAATTGAACTCTCAGAAGTGAGTGAGTTGTTCAAGTTTTCTAGCCTGGAAAAATTTGCACCGTCCTTTCGCATTTGATTCAATTTCTTCACTCTTTCTCTTGGATGTGGTGATACCAACATTGCTTAGTCTTAATTGTTTCTTACCACTCCCACCCGTTGCCCCATCTTCATCCACTTTGTCCGACTCCCTGGACATCAAGCACATAGAAAAAACAAAACTTACATCATAGTGATTCCATAATCAAAACAACTTCCATAACAACTTTGAAGTTTGTGAGTCAGTGTCAAGGAAGTATGAGAAGTTTCCGCATCTAATTTTGTGAAATCTCACGTCGGTTGGGGAGGAGAACGAAACACCCTTTATAAGGGTGTGAAAATCTCTCCATAGCATACGCGTTTTAAAAACCTTGTGGAGAAACTCGAAAAGTAAAGTGCAAAGAGGGCAATATCTGCTAGCAATGGGCTTGAGCCGTTACAGATGGTATCATAGCCAAACACCGGGCGATGTGTTAGTGAGGAGGCTGAGCTCCGAAGGGGGGTGGACATGAGGCAATGTGCCAGCAAGGACGCTGGCCCCCAAATAGGGGTGGATTTGGTGGGGGTCCAACATTGATTGGAGAAAGGAACGGGTGCCAGCGAGGACGCTAGGCCCCAAAGGAGGTAGATTGTGAGATCCCACATCGGTTGGGGAGGAAAACGAAACACTCTTTATAAGGGTGTGGAAACCTCTCCCTAGCAAATGCATTTTATAAACCTTGAGGGAAAGCCTGAAAGATAAAGCCCAAAGAAGACAAAGCGGTGTGCTTGGCAATTATGAATTATCAGCTCATATGTAAACAAATGGATCATATTATGCTTATTTGATGATTTATGAGAAGCTAAATTGATGAACAGAAACTAGGCATAGCCATCCCAGGTTGGCCAAGCGGCAAAGGATTTTGAAGAATGGGTTCAAATTGTATGGAGGTCATGGTCACTTACCTAGACTACTACAATCTTGTGAGTTTCTTGACAACTAAATGTTGTAGGGTTTTGCCTGTGAGATTAGAGTCTAAACACTCACTAATGTTAAAAAAAAAAAAAAAACACTGAACGTGGGTGTATCAAGAAGTAGACTCGAAGAATGAACCGAAACTATTTGGATATCTAACTATTGTACAATAAAAGTGGGATGCACCAAACAAAACTATAGTCTAGAATAAGGGTAGAATCATTCATTTTCAGTGAACAAATCAAGTTCTAATTTAGAATGGGAAAGAACCGATCATCCAAGTACATCAGAGCAGGATGATGATCCAGCAAAAAATGCGAAGTGCCTTACATCAATAAACAATTGCCATCATTAATTACTAAATACCATATGATATTCAAAATTGTTTTTAAGACTGCTTTCATTAAATCAATCCCATCTTTCATTAAATCAATCCCACCACCAATAACAAACGCACTTTAAGCAACATACCTATTCCTATAGGGATAATGAGCTAAAAGAAAATGTAAAGCACTTTAAATAACAAAGCCTGTCCTTTCTATACCGTGGAGAACATAAAAGAAAATGTATAGCACTTTAAACAACAAAGCCTGTCCTTTCTATACCGTGGAGAACATAAAAGAAAATGTATAGCACTTTAAACAACAAAGCCTGTCCTTTCTATACCGTGGAGAACATAAAAGAAAATGTATAGCACTTTAAACAACAAAGCCTGTCCTTTTTATACCGTGGAGAACATAAAAGAAACGTATAAGGCATAATGAGCTAATTCTGCAAAGAGCTATAATACTTGCAAGGCAGAGTAAAAACTAACCATGATACTTCAACAATGTCTTTGAAATATGAAGTGCAGGTACCCCAACTGAAGCGGACCAATGAGGGGAACCCAAATACCGAGTGCTTGTGATCTTCTAACCAACATTTAGTTGTTGGATCTACATAGATCAAATCATAAGAGCACTATTGATTTCACCCAGTGCAGTGAAAACGTGATTATAGTATGCTGCAAAAAATATTTAGAGGATGAAATTGACCTCCAGGGTATCCAGAACCAAAGTTTCTATGCATGTTTTCAGCTGTTTCCTCCAATGCCCAATCCCGCAACACACGATCTCTTGTCACCTACAGGTCAAAATGATGAATTTAAGTGTGGGAAACGATTGGAATGCCAGATCTTAAAAGGACGCATTAGCATTACCTTTGCGACTATGCTTGCCCCACTGACAACAGGATATAAACTATCAGCTTTCTTTGAAACTACAAATTTTACATTGGGAAATTTTTCAGATAACTTGATTCTGTACTTCTCAGGATCTCCAACAGTATCCACATAAACCTGAAAATAAATAGAAGTGATTGATCTAACATTGTTCTTGGGGCAGAACAAATCTGCAAATGACTTCAAATCATCAATTGATAACAAAAAAGTTTGAAGGCAATGGAAGATGAGATATGCTGAATGGGGATTTTCTTTCCCTCTATCTTATGGACCTGAATAAATCATGAATATAACTTTCCAAAAGTTAATTTTTACAGATTTTCCTCATAAAGAACATGTCGCATCCTGCTAACTCTCATGAACGAATATACAAAGGCATACAAAAAATAATTGGAAGTTACCAAAGGCTATTCAATCTTCTCAAGTTGTTGCCTCTACTTTCTTTGTTGAGAGAGTGCATTCTTAAGAATTCTATTTCTTTTCATCAATCAATGACAATTTCGTTTCTTGTTGAAAGAATTACTATTAAAATACTAAAATCACATAACTGACTTATGAATGCAAGAAACCAGGGAGAGAGTTACCTCAGTTAAAAGAACTCCCATGCCTAGAACCTTGGTAACCAGACCCATTGCAGAGTCATGTGATATTTCATTTAGGTTTATCTTTACTCTGTTGAACAATAAAAACAAAAAATTCAGAACAAAACCCAGGCGTGAAAGTTCTCATATGATACATTATGTTGGACTAAACATTTTGCCTTCCGTTGTTAAAGCACCATTATCCGTTAGCTTAGAGTGTTTGTGCAAATGAAAGAATTTAGAAACCACCAAATACTGACTTATTTAGCATTTTGGATGAAAGTTCCCGAGGATCTATGACATCAACAGCCCATCCAATTGACTCATTAGCCTTCAAACCTTCAAACAATTCCTCCCTCTTCTCTTCCTTCAATGTTTTTGAGTCTAGATGCAAAACAAAACATCAAAAATTGGAAGAAAAGTAAACGAAACTGAAAAATTATGAAAAACACTTAAAATAAAATCGGTAGAAGTTTAGAAAAGCTAAACCAGCAAAATTCAAAGACGAAAGTTCTTTCAAATAGGAACGAGTGCAGTACAAGCATCCATACACCATTGGCCCTGAGATCAAATGCAGTAATATTTCAAAAAAAAAATACACAAAATCATATCCCAAAAATAAGATAATCCAAGCGGTGTTAAAGATGCAGAAATGGAAGAAAGCGAATAGGAAAATAGAAAACCTAAAACAGGGCCTCGACCAGCTTCATCGATGCCCATTACACAAGGCTTCGATGCCCATTTCGGGAGTGGATCTTGCGAAGACATTGCTGAGTTCTTCTCACTACGTCAGTTTACTACCAAATCTCACTTCCCCTCTTGAGCGTTTTCGATTGTGTGTTCCTTTTAGGTCGATTCCCGCCATGGAAGCTTTTATCTGATACCTTTCACGGCTTCCCGCTTAATCGCCCCTAATTCTTTACGCATTTTTTACAAATTTCTAATATAAATTTTAAAATGTTTTAGAGAAAATTACCTCTTCCATCCTTAAATTTACAATTTAAAAATTGTTTACAATATACTTTTTTATTATAATTTTTTAAGTTTAGTTTTAAATTATTACGGAGAGGTAAAAAATAGTATTCTGTAAATTTCATTTTTAAATAAATAAAAAAAATGGCATATTATAGTATTTGGTAAACTAAGACACTAAATTAGAGTAAATTAGATAATAATGACTCGTGTGACATATATTTTAATTATTTTACTTGGACATTAAAATTACATTGTATTACAAAATTAATCAATTAAATTATACTCAAATTAGACGATAATATGATCTAATAATTATATTGTACTACAATCTTAACCAATTGAGTTATACTCCAATTAAACGATAATATTATATAGTACTATAATTTTAATCAATTAGTCGTGTACTGCATCTTAATCAATATGAGTTATATAAAAATTAGATATAAAAATTAGATGATAATATAATCTATTTTGACATTATTTTCTTCAAATTTGAAACAAATTGTTATAGTAAACCCTTGCAGTTCACGAACATGTGCATCTGAATTCTTTGATAAAACTCAAGCAGCAAGCAAGCAAAGCAAAGGAAAGGAAAATGGAAGGCAAGTTTAAATAGGCACACGTGTGTGTATATATCAATATTAGATTTTTAAGGCAATAAATACCAATTCACCAGCAGAACAACAGAAGAGTGCACAACAACAGTGGAGCAAATCGATATAACGAACCATCCACACCATTCTAAACTCCAAATGTAAAGAGGTTACTAATAAATCTATATCTTATCGATATCTTCATCCTCGAACTCGAGATAGTCATCGGCCCCACCATCATCCTCATCATCGATACCACCAGCAATACCCTCGTTGAGACGTGTGCTCTCAGGAAGTTCACCGTATGCCTTCAAAAGCCTTGCTTCATCGGGCATATACTTGAGGATGACATCAGCTTTGTCATCCTGGTAGTCGCGAAGACCCACAAGTATTATATCACCAGCTGCAATCCAAACCTTTTTGTGCATCTTCCCTCGGATATGGCAAAGACGCTTTGTTCCGTCGATGCACATCGCCTCACACCGACCATTCCCTAACATTCTGAGAACCTGAGCATACTCCTGACCATCTTCCTTGAAAACAAGCTCACGCTTCTCATCATCTGCTTCGTTCTTTCCTCTCTTCCTGTTCTTTCCTCCCTTTCCCTTGTTCTTCGGCATGTTTACTGTTCTGTGTTACATTTGAAATGCAATGAGTTAGTTGCAATACCACCAACACACAGTCATCACAACCTCATAGACTCATATTTCAAGCCATCAAGTACATATAATGTAGAACTCCAACTTTTCACTCGATATAATTAGAATTTAGATTAGTCTAACTACTTAACTTCTGTCTAGTTAAACAAAACACAAAGAAAGAAAATAAATTACAAAACAATTGCCCTAAACGTTAAAACAGCGCATACAAGAACAGAACAGCCACGTATTTATCATTTCCAGTTGGTAATGCTAGACACAAGCCATTTTTCACTGTATGCTATATTATCTGCTAAACATGATATTATCTTTCACCAATCGATCCAATATTATCTGCTAAACATGATATTTTCAGCTTGTCTGTGGTGGAACATAAACCGACAAAAAGATAAAAGAAATCAAAATGAAACTACTTGACAGACTCACAGTGAATATGATATTAACCTAACCAAATATCAGAAATGAATAATCAAGTGCTTCAGAAACAGTGTTTCCTCGCATTTACTAAAGAGAAGGTGAAGCAAACGCCAGTTAGAATCAACATAAAAAAACCGGATTCAAACCCTAAGTTACCCTTTCTTTTGTATACTGAAAGGGTATGGTTGGTCCAAAAGCATGAACTAGAGATTCAACAAATCTATTCTTGAATTAAACAAATTCATCTCTCTTCCCAGTGTCTTTCTAATCAAGCAATTCAAATATTTTACCTCAACCACCAAAAGCAACCCACAGTATCTTCCTTTCTTTTGTTGATCTGTTCATCCAACCATTCTAGCTCCTATTATTTTCTAAACCTCGAGGTAACTATCAAGGTATCACTTTTCCTTTTTTCTAAGCCTCATGTGGTATTGCTCTAATTAATTGATGATTCCGACAAATATTCGTCTGTTGCTAGTTTGGATAATTGATATTCATGATTAGAGCGATTTGAAGAAGGAAAAACAGGTTAGGCACTTTGACGAGATTTACCTTGGGGAAACAGCCAAGATTATCACTTTTTCCCTTTTCTAAGTCCCGTGTGATGTTCCTATAATGGACTAACAATTCCCACAAACATTAGTCCATTACTAGCTTGGATATTTGATATTCATGACTTGAGTAATTAGAAGAAAGAAAAGTTGATTAGTTGCTTTGATGAGATATGTTTTCTTCCCTAAAATTGATCAAATTAACAGCTGTAAAAGGATCGGTACCCTCAATGCCTAGCTACCACAACTCAAGAGGCGCAGACCAGAGCAATATTCATAATATTCCACACATCACATATGTCAATATCATAAATACGTGATCATCAAGATTCGCCATATAAAGTACATAATTAAGATAAAAGTGCTCTTGAACAAAGGATTCATTCCAGCCGCTAAAACAGCAGAGAGGATATAAGTTTTCTAACATGGGCTGCAAAGAGTCATCTAACAATTTAAATGTTCAATACATATTTTCAAACTGGGGCATCATCTCTCATGATCATGATTACTAAGATGAATCCTTGGCCCGTCCAACAATATTTTCACTTCTTATTTCTAGTCTTTTGCTTCGTACTTTGAAATAAGAGAGAATCATAAGCGTTCTTTTTTCTTTTCCTTCTCCAAAATCATTAATTCCCATAATTTACATCATATAAGAAACGAGATGCACAAATTGAGGGTCAACACGGTACTATAAACGATCAGAATCTAGAAATGAAAAGGCATCCCTCTAATCTCCATATTTAGGAAGATTTGAATCGTGCTGAACAAAAGGCAGATCATTCCAATCAAAATCACAAAAAGAACGCAGTCCTGATACAAGAGATTCAGTCGGAGGAAAGAAAAAGATCTTCAAAGCGACAAAAAAACATCAAAAAAAAGCACAAGAAAATTACATACCGAGGCGATCAGGAACTTGCCAAGCCAAGAATCGAGCTAGAGAGACGGTGGAAATGAGGGAGAGAGAAAGAGAGAAAACCCTAGCCCCTTCTACAAATAGGGATAATCGTGATAGAGGAGAGGAATTGGGGTGAGCAAACCGACCGGACCGACTGCAGTCGATCGGTTTTTATATATATTCAGTCGGGTCGGTTCGGATTTGTACATAGAAAACCGACCCGACCGAATACTTTTCTAAAAAAATAAAAATAATTAAAAATAAAAGAAACCACGGATTAAAATTACCATTTTAGCCTCTTCGCTAAATTTTTTCCATTACTACAATAACATTTTATTATTATTAATGTTGACAAGAAAAATTACCATGGAAAATAATAAATACAATAAAAAAAAATTACACCTTTAATTCGGGATAGGTATTATTTTAGTTCATGAATAACGTCCCTAATTTTTATTATTAAAATAAACTTGTCACTGCACGTCTAACATATCTAATATGTGTGAAATTTATTTGAAAATATTCACACGAAAACAATACCATAAATTTAGACGTTTACAAATTTTTATTTCAAATAAAAATAACATCAATGGAATAGCGAATACGAAATAACAATAATTTTAAAATAATGAAAACACATATTTGAGCGCTCGTTTTGAGATAATGTCGCATGCATAGACTTAACTGCAACAACAACTTGGATGCAATCCTAACCAAAATAAATAAAATAAATAAATTATTTTTGTCATTTAATTTCTATTGCAATTCTATCAACGAAACCTTAATTTTCATTGCATTGCAGGTCTTAAAATCATTACGAGATAAAATTAAAATTAAAATTAATCAGAGTCATAATGTTATTTGATTTTTAAGAGGAATGAGACAAGTTTGCTTTAAAAATAGCCGATAGTCTATTAAATCTTATTGACATGTAACTCAACGCACATAGTTTATGGATGGACCCGAAATTATTATTAATTTTAAAATATACCTTATGATACCATTATATACCCATATATTTAATTAATATTATAATTTTTTTTATGGTTTTTCAAAATAGCGTTTAAATTGAATGGTATATTTTAATTAGATTTTTGAAAATAAAATTTGAACCAACCTTGTAAAAAAAATAAAAATTAGTTGGATTGAGTTGAGTTGAATGGGTGGGTGATTGAATCTAAAAATATCCCGATCCAATACATTGAATCTAAAACTTTTGGGTTCGGTTACAATTTCCTGAATTTCCCGCCAATTTGAAGCCCAACGGTCACTGAATTCCTATTCCTTTTAGAATTCCAAAACTAATCCATAAATCTTTCTTTGTGCACAGAAGCATCTTCGTTTCGAAGAATTTGAGTTCAAGAAAATCCCAAATCCATTCTAAAATCCTTCGATTATGGAGTACAATCGCTATTTGTCTTCTTCCTCTGCTCCACATCAGATGCACCAGTTTGATGAATCATGGATCTCTGCGATGTTTGAAGCGGCGGAGATCACAATGCCGCGGGGAAATAAATATTTAGCAGAATCAGTTGATTGATAATAATGATGGTTTTAGCTGACCGGTGATTGCAATTTTTCTTCGATCCTCCGTCGTCTCTGCATCTCGATCAAATACTGCAGTTTCATGACTCATGTCTCTCTTTGTATTTTTCTGACGACGATGCACCGTTTGAGCCGCCGGAGATGAATATTCCACAGAATCAGTCGATTGAGATTAATCATGGTTTTAGTCTCCATGTCGATTGTCAGTTGCCTTCTTCCTCTGTTCCTCCTCCGTCGCTTCCACATCTCGATCAGAATCCGAACCTAGCGATGCCTTCAAAATCAAATGATGCAGTTTGATGAACCGTGGATCTCTACGGCTTTTGAGGCGGTGGCGATCGCCGGAGATGAATATCCAGCAGGATCAATCGATTGAGAATAATCAAGGTTTTAGCCTCACGGGCGAATCCAAAACAGAGGTGGAGATTGCTCTCGATAATTATCTTAAGATATATTCAGCAGTCGATGATCCTTTTATCATATCGTGAAGGTTATGATTTTGAATCTAATTATGCCGATCCATTGTCCATCGAACTTGTCGCTAATTCGAGCTCTAAGACAGAGTTCAATCTCTCAAATTACAATCCAGCTTCGATGACAAAATTTTCACAGTTCAATCACTTAAATATCGAAGATATTGAGATTCAATTGCAGAACTTATCTACTCCGTCTCCGGCACCAGTCTATAATAATTTGTCTGACATTGTAAACTCGATGAAGAGTTTACCGCCAAAAGAATCACCACCGCTGCCTCTGCCGCCGCCGCCCAATGCCATTAGAAACCGTGGCAGGATATCGGGATCAAGAACTGTAATTGGTGCATACATGATCAAGTAAATTACTAATTTCTTTAGTATTAATTCGAACAAATTAATTGATTTTTTTAAAGCTAAATTGAAAAAAAAAATTTAAAAAAAAAACTGTTTATTTCATAAATATTATTTATCTGGTGATGTTGTTTTGATTGGTTGCAGATTATTTTTGATGGGGTTGAACATATTTGTAAAAGGTGATTGGAAAAATATAGCAAATCTTTACGAAATTAGAAATACTTTAATCATCTAAGGATAAAGAAAATAGAAAATCACGAATTAGGTGACCATTATCATGAAAATCACGAATTCGATTCTTGAAAGTCATAATCTGACGAAAATAGAGTGTCTCTTACTTTCCTTTAACCTTAAAAAGACAGTGATTTCATCAAATTTGTGATAAAGGAGTTTGACCTGAGCTAAAATGTGGTCGAGATGGACATAGCAAATATCCATTAATACAATAAAATAGTGATAGTGGACGTTATCGTCCAATAACATCTCTAGGGAGGAAGGTGTTGGATGATGAAAGTTCTGCTAATTTAAGAAATGATCATGAGTTTTAAGTGAGGAATACTAACTTCATTGATATAAGGCCTTACTTATACTCAAAGTAGACAATATCATACCATTGTGGATTTCAGAAATAAGAACAACACATGAGTACTAACGATTGATATTCCAAACGAATTTAATCGAGGGTATAAATTGATACCAAAAAATGAAATTAAAAAGTTAATATTTAAGATATTAAAATATATAGACTAGTACAAGTTCGTAAATGTCACGGAGCTTATCTACACCAATGTGAGTGGGAATTGAGAAGAAGGTCGCCGTCGGAATACAGTACAAGGTGGAAGAGCTGTTCATGATCCCTAGTTAACTCCCACTTCCACTCACAGTCTTCTGAGTTTTGATCCTTTATTTTCTCAATTTTGCGGTTGCTGTTGCGTGTTTAGCCAGCAACAGAGATGGATTCCGACGATAGGATCCCGCTGAGTGAGCGCCCGGAGTGGTCGGACGTTACTCCGCTTCCGCAGGACGATGGTCCGAATCCGATTGTGGCGATCGCCTACAAAGAAGACTTCGCTGAGGTCATGAATTACTTCCGAGCTGTATATCGAGCAGATGAGCGTTCTCCTCGCTCTCTCGATCTCACTGCCGAAGCTATTGCCATAAATCCTGGCAATTACACTGTAATTCCTTTCTCCCTCTCTTTTGTCTGTTTTCTAATTTTTCTTGGAAGTTTGTTGGAGTGGAATTCTGGAACTTGCAGCATCTTTGTATATCTGTTGTTCAAGGACCCGATGGCCGTTTAGATTTAGATTTGTACTTGGACTGGGGTGGATGAGTGATTGACGATGGGCTTCATTTGTTTTAGGGTTTAATTTTGTCGAGCAGAGCTATTTATTTTTAGAATCGATGAATACATTTAGGCAATTTTTAAAAAATTTGAAACTGCTTTGCTAGCCTTGGTAGAATCCCATGTTTGTGAAGTTTCTTTGACTTGAACTAGTTATTGCAATGTTTATACGGAAAGAGGAATGTGTTTAGTTATTCAATGTTGATCTTGGATACTGCAAAAAATGTGTGTTGCTCTCATGTCATTTATCTTTGCCTTCTGTGTCCCGGGAGAATTTCCTAGGATAATCAAAGGTTTTGTGTGTGGTTACTTGGTTTCATTGAATGCTTTTTGTACAATTGTTTGGCTAGTTTGGCTCAAAAGAATATGCCTAAAAATAATATAGAAAGAGAGATTCAAACAGGCATCCTAACTTTCTTGCCATTTCATATAATCTCATGATTTCCTTCAGTTTTTCCTCATCCCTGATGCCTCTTCAAAAGTTCTAATTAGTTTCATTTCTTGTTCCAAAAAAAGAAAAGGACTCCTTCTCTTAAACCTTTGTGGCCACGCATTCTTCTTATAGGTCTTCTATTTAAGAGTATGAGAATATTTTCTTCAACATATACACCCTTTAATGCAATAAATCCATTGATTTTGAAACCCTTTCCTCTCTAAATTTCCAATTGACTCTATCACGTGCTTTCTTTATATCCAGTTTAAAGATCTCCTTACTTGTTTCATATTCTATAATCTTCCACTACTTTCATTTGCAATTAGAATAGGATATGTAATTTGTCTGCCTTTATTGAAGGCGCTTTATCACAGTGAAATTGTTTAGAGAATAACCTCTGGCCTCTTTACTTTAACTTTGGAAAGAGCTTTGTACATGCAGGCCTCTAAACTTACGAGTTGAAATTTTCAGATTTTAGGGATGAGAGGAGGGATGTGTGGATTTGGAGTTCTAATCCTTGGAGCGGCTTCTTCTCTAGTTCACTCTTTCGCTGTTTATTGGACCCTTCTCCCATTAGATACTGATTTTTGGCCCTCTGGAAGATCAAGATTCCAAAAAAGGTTAAGTTCTTTGTCAGGCAGGTTATCCACAATCGTTTGAACCTGGAGAAATGCTCTGATGAAAAGCATAAGAAACCAGAATTTAACAAAGAATAAGGTGGATGGATTTCCATTAGATAATTACCTTTAACTTATAGGAATTCTTGCACTTTGCAATTCACAAACATTTGACATTCTAATTAGGATTTCTTCTAAAACCTTCAACAGGTTGGATTGTACTTCAACTTGTATCAAGGTGGAAAAGAATGTAAGTGGTTTTCTTCCAACAACAATCAAAATCAAGGGGATATTTCGCTTTCTGTTCCCCATCAGCCCCAAAGTATTATAAGTTAGTCTTAAGTGACTATTTGAATGCCCGAGATTTATTTACAA